GCCGGGGACGGGGGGCGCGGCGGCCATCTTTCTCGCCGCGCCTGTCACAGCGCTGCCTGTCAGGCGCAGCGGGCTGGGAAAGGGGTGGCGGGTCGGGACAGCCCAGCTGGCCCTCGCCAGGGCGTGATACTTTTCAGGAGTTTCTCCTTATTCTCTCTCAGCCCTGGGGGCTGGCCGAGGAGGGGGGGGAAGGTGGTTCCCGCCCTCCCGGTGCTGACAGGACTCTGGGGAGGCGGCAGCGCCTTGTAGCGCTGAGGCGGTCCTGGCCGCGTTCCTTTCTGCCCGGCTGTGCGACTCGGGCACCGCTGAGCTTATTTATTTGTTTTTACACCCCCCACCCCCGCTCTTTTATTAGAAGGGTGCCAGGTGCACGGGTAGGGAGGGTGCCGCTGCTTCTCTTTCTCCTCTATTTGCAGGTATGGGGAGTGCGCCTTGTCAGCGTAGGTCACAGATTTGAACGTTTCTGTACGTTTCGCTTACCAACGTGTATTGTATTCAAGTGTAAGCTTTAGGGTTAAATCCTGATCATCAGTGTTTATAAGGATAGCAGATAAAAGCATTGCTTCCAATGAGGCTTGGAAAAGGCTGTGCATATGTGTGAATACATGCATTATACAGTGCTGCACTGCACTAATCTTGAGGAAGGATGGTCTGACCTGAATCAGATCAGCAGCATTTCCTCAGGGAAATCAAGCTGTTGAAAACACTGTAGGGTGGGTTGTGTTGTTTTCGTTTGGTTTGGTTTTAATTTATTTTTCCCCTTAGCAAGCCTCCCCCATTATTTTAAATCACTGCAGTTCTGGTAATGCATTTCATCTGTTTTGAGTCTCTCTTTATTCTAGTGAATCAGAATTTACCAGCCTGTTTCTGTGATAAACAGATGCTTGTACATCTTTGCATTTCTTGATGATTAATGGTATTGGAACCTTTTCCTTTCCTTTTTTTTTTTTTATTCTTGTAATCTTTTATTGTATAAGTATTATTGTTTACTGAAATGGACATTCTAGTTACCTATGTCGGCTTCAATAAGTGTTTTCATTTTTCTTTGTTTTTAGAATACGTATTTCTGAATTGAAGCTATGTAATGGTTCGTTACAATAAGAATTTGAACATCTTTAAGAGAAAGAGCTGTCCTGCAGAAGAGGAGGGCAGTCTACTCTGGAGGCGTTACTGATAGCCAGGGATAAGCAACACTGCAGTATGGGCTACCCAAATGATGTAATGCAGTAGTTAAAAGGAGCCAGGTTGTTGTCTGGCTGTAGGGGCCATGAAACTTGAGGGTTTTGGCAAAAGTGATGTTCTGTTTGTGGTAAAGCGATGATGTTTCTCCCTTCTACCAATACTGCTTTCATCTCCTTCATTTTTTTACTTGCTGTTGCACATGGAAGACCTTAACCCCTCTGCAGCAAGCATTTCATAGCAAGATAACTTTGATCCAGTTGCTGTCTATCACAACAGGACAGAAACTCTGTAACAGCTCTTTAATGAAAAACATTTAAAATTAAAATTACAATTAATTTTTAATCTGGCTTTGTATTTTCAGTTGTATTTATGACAAAAAAAAATTGTGATGCCAGTGCGCCTCTCTGTTATAGAACAGCACATATGGTAAACTCTGTTTTGGCATTTGTGTAAATGAAGTGGTAAATAAAATGTTTGGAAGTGGATAGCATTTATTAATACATAATCCTGAAGTTCCTGGCAGAAGGCCTGGTAAGGCATTAATATTAATGCTTGAATTGAGCTCTTTATCTTCTCTAATATACTATATTTTATTAACAAGCTAGTTAGCAGAAACTTAAGAATGGTTTACCCAGTTATATTAACAAGAACAGCTGCTATGATATAACAAAGTGAATTAAAAGTCAGCTAGCAGTGTTAAGCTCTAAAAAATATTCACGTAGGCCAAGGGATGAACCAAACAATGATAAAGGAGTGCCACTTCCCTAAACTTGGCTCTCAGTATTAACTTCCTACAGGCTGAAAGCTTCGTGCCCAGGTGTATTACATTGTTGTAGTCCTGGCAAAAAGTACTAACGCAGTAATACCTAAGACACCAGACCTTCAGTTTCTGGGAAGGGATGCAGCCTTGTACTTGAGCAAAAGGATGGAAAGTTTGAAATAAAAATTTGTTCATGTTGTTGGCATTGGCTTGCCATGAGACTTGTCAGCAGAAGCTTTGAGGTCAGTTATGGAGGCCTGCCTCTTCACCTCCTCGACTGTGATGACTTCTTTTGAGGTCTAACATTGTAGAGCTTTGGGTCCCACAGTTGTCTAATCCCTTAAACTCGGTTGTAGATTCCCCTTGTCTTCGCCTCACCCCCCACCTTCTACCCCAGTACTGCCTGTTTCTCATTGTGCTTCTTGGCTCTCCTTTCCTTTGCCGTGACTTAGTGATTCTTTTCCATCTCAAACCCAACTTGCTCCAGCTCTGCCACAAAGTGATAGTAATATATTAATGACTTCTTGAAACACCAAGCAACTAAACCCATAAAACTAACATTTTACATCCACGTCTTGTATAATGGTCACTCCGTGTATCTGTTTTCATTCTACCTTTGTTAACAGTGGGACATAATTATCCCAGCTGGAGAGTAAGGCTCCATTGTTTTTAGGCACAAATCAAGGTTTTTACAACTTCAATACCATCCTTTCTCAGATTATATGAACAGCTTCAACAGTATGTAGGAGAACATCCAGTCCTGCCGGAGGAACGTGGGCATGACGTTTACATTTAGAATTAACATAAATGGACATGCGTAGGAGGCCTGTGTGCTTAAAATACGAGGAAGAAATAAACTGTTACGGTCATCTCAGCTCCTTGCCCCAAAAGAAAACTACAATGTAGCCTGTGTATATAAATGTATTGGAAACTTGAAGACAATGGAAAAAATACAGGTTTCAGTTCAAAATGTGATATCTGTGCTAGTTAAATATTTATCAGAAGTAAATTTCACTTGTTCCATTAAGAAAGCATATAATTAGCAAATACAAAGAGCACGTAGGTATACTTCTCAACACATTAGTACTTACTTGCATTATGAAATAAGTGTATATAGCACAGCTCTAGCACTATACTTAATTCTCGGTAAAAGTACTGATTTTTTTTTTTTAGCACAGCACAATTTAAAAATGGGGAAAATAAGAAAAGAAAAGTAGTGGTGCTGTTTTCTGTAAATGGAAAGGAAAGAGAAGAAAGAAATATTTCAAGGTCTCAGAAGAAGTATGTAAATTTTGCTGTGAGTGAGACCTTGGATGCCAGGACACCCTAGAACGTTCTAGAAAAGAAATATCATTGGTTTTTATTAAACTGAAGAATAACCTAACAGAACAAATTCAGAAATAAAGTGCCTTCATTCGAGGTGGATCACTGACAAAACCGAAGGATACTCTAAAAATTTTCTTGTCTGTACTAAATTTTTTTTAGCAGAAAAAATAGGGGGTGGGTTGGTTGTTTTCTCCATTGCAGACTTTGAGGTAGGAAAGAAACTATAAATGTAGGGGAGAGTGGGGAAATAATACATTTTGGGGGGAAGAGGCCAGGCTGCTGCTTAGTTTGGATATTTCTCATCTCTAAAAAGAATTTGGCTCTTTTAATTAAAAGTATTCCTTTTTTTAATAAGAACCATTTTCTTGAGAAAATGTAAAATGAAAGAGTTGAACTGAAGATCCAAAGTTAGTATGAGAATGTGCCTGTTTTGTCTCCTACATCTAATTATATTTTGAGCTGGGCTGGGTTGGGTTTTTTTTAATTAAAATCTTAGCCGTGCAAGAAGACAGGTTCCCTGTGTTCAGATGGACTCAGTAAGACCCACACTGTGTTCGAAACCTTTGTTGGTGTAGCAATAGAAATGCATGTTTCATTATTTCTGTGCCATTTGCAACTCATCAACAGATGAACACAGGAACCTATTTAAGTGTTTCTTACGGTGTATTTTTCTTCACTTGAGTAACTAGTGTAAACGACTGATCTGGTATCTGATTTCTGTGTGTGTTTGTTTAATACTCCCCATCATTTTTTCCTCCCAATTCTGTCTTTTTCCACGTCCCTATGAAGCACTTCATGCATTAAAGGGATTTGCAAGAATAACTACCTTAACTGCACTCCTGTGACCTACAGGTGGCTCTCATTACAGAATGAGACAGGCCGAGGTTAGTAAGATCTCATCTTTCTTTGCTAAGTTGTCATGTGTTTAATAGATAATTACCAGGGCTTCTGAGGGTCAAGATTTTTCTTCCGCAAATTGAAGGAGGGGAATTGTTCTTAGCAAGAGAGAGAAGAATTATGGAAATAAGAAAAATTTCTTTCTGGGTTATCATTTGTGTGAGGGGCTCTAAAAATTTTGCACTTGGCTAACAAGTCTTTAAAGAGGTTTTTGCTAGAGCTGGACCACCAGTTTCTAGAGCTGGTATATTGGCTACAAAAGGCAAAGACCCAACCTCTTCTCAAAACCAGGAAGAGTGGCTCACCTGAAAAGCCCTGGGAGATGAGGAGCAGGTGTGGGAAGAAGACGTGGCAAAGCGAGGGGCAGTGGTGGGAGGAGAGGAGAAGGATGTGTGCAGAAGCTCTGATGAGAGCTGCAGCTTGCCCTTGTGTGTACTAACCCTCCCGTAACGTTCGGTGGGGATGAGCTCTGTCTCCACAGGTGGATTCTTCATTTTTGTGGCAGTTGACATTTTGTGATACGAGATCTAAGTTGTATTTTAAGTTATGCCTCCGCTCTTTGTACTTATGAAAACATAAGTAATCTGTTTAATTATATGAATAATATAATTATTAATTAATACTTATATTATTAATATAATATTATAATATTATAATTATATAATAATTATATACTGTAATACTAAGCTTAAAAGTATGAAGAGCTTCATTTCTTCTTTAGATTGCGAATTTAATAAGAAGCAGCAAAAGTTTAAAATTTCACGGAGACATTTGTATACTTTAAAAGGAAGCAATAGCTGGTTTGCTTTTTTTTTCCTCCCCCACCCAGGTGAATTTCACAGTAGACCAGATCCAAGCAATCATGGACAAGAAGTCCAATATTAGGAATATGTCTGTGATTGCTCGTGTTGATCATGGCAAGTCAACCTTGACAGACTCCTTGGTGTGTAAAGCGGGCATCATTGCTTCAGCCAGAGCAGGAGAAACGCGATTCACAGACACACGGCAAGATGAGCAAGAAAGATGTATCACAATCAAGTCTACGTAAGAATCTGTTTGTATCTTTTTTCCTTTCTTTCTTTCTTTTTAGTCTGAAGACCGAAAAATGGTCTGCTCAAAGCCTTGCATCTTGTCAGATCTTTTTTAAGTTGACATGTGAATCAAGCTGTTCGTTACAGAACAGAAGTTCACAGTCTTCAGAGTGCAATCTGGGCAATATTGGAGTAGAGCTTTTAAGTGATATGTAGCGACCATTCTTACCTGGTTCTCACTATGGAGAAAGATGGTTTCAGAAAGATTCTTAGTAGTAACCTTTGTTTTTATTGGATTGCTTACAGACTAATACCCTGTTCCTCCGAGCCACTGTGGTGGGCTGTGTCTTGTTATTATTACCTCTGTCTTTGATGTCTGCAACTGCAAAGTTAACAAGTTGTAAAGTGATTTGAAGCATGACTCTACAAGTGTCTGACAGTGATATTATGCTGTGACTACTATCTTGAGGTGTTGATGTTGAATAAGAATAAAAATTAATTACACCCAAAGCAGAATTTTAGATCCTAAGAACTTTAGAAATTGAAATATTGAAGTCGTCTTGTGGTTTTTCCTTTAAGTACATTGAGAGATATTGGCACTGTAATAGAGCAGGTATAGTTGCCTGACCAATGCAAATTTTAAAATCAGCAAATTATGAAACGTTATTAAATTATTAAAATGAATTGTCTTCTCTTACAGGGCAATTTCTGTGTATTATGAACTCTCAGACAACGACTTGGCCTTCATCAAACAGTGTAGGGATGGTTCAGGTTTTCTTATTAACTTAATTGACTCCCCTGGACATGTTGATTTTCTCCTCTGAAATTACAGCAGCTCTCCGTGTCAGTGATGGTGCCCTTGTTGTGGTTGACTGTGTTTCAGGTAAGCATGCTCTTCTAATTATAAGGACCTCAGTGTATTTTATTTTCTTCCTCTTGAGAAAAAAAAAAATCATGAGTGACGGAAGAATCTTCTTTCTCTGAAAGTTTAACTTCTAATGGTATGAATTCTGATTTGCAGTCTTAGCCCATGGCCTTTTCTGTATCTTAGAGGATTATATCCACTTTGTATCCAGCTTGTGGATTGAATGTAGAGTAACTGAGGAAATTGAGTCAATCTTTCAGTGAAATCCTAGGGAGTGGAGTTGCCTGTCATTCTTCTCCTACTTCAGTTAGAAAATGGAGCAATACATGCAACCGAGTAATGGCGGTTTCGGGGAGCACCAAAACTACCACCAAATTCCCAGTTTGAATTTCCCAGTCACCACTGTACAAAGTAGATTAGAGATCTTGCCCATATATATAATGCATGTTTTAATTGTGCTTATATTTTTAAGGGGTTTGTGTACAGACAGAGACTGTTCTGCGGCAGGCTATTGTAGAACGTATCAGACCAGTACTGATGATGAACAAAATGGATCGTGCTTTGCTGGAATTGCAGCTGGAGCCTGAGGAACTTTACCAGACGTTTCAGTGTATTGAGGAAAATGTCAATGTCGTCATTTCCACCTACGGAGAGGGTGAAATTGGACCAATGGGTAATATTATGGTAGAGAAAACTTTAAAACTCTGCTGTGGTTGAAACCCTACTTTGGAGAATACCAGCCTTGATATGAAACAATTGCATACGTTTATGGCAGTTCAGATCTCTGGACAACCTAAAGGAGCCGTTCTTCAGTCCCCTTCCACCCCTACTGTTTCATACTTTTTCTTTTGGGGATATTATTTCAGACCAACCAACTGGGGAGCGAAAGCAACTAGGAGAGAGGAGAGAATTCACAAAGCAGATCATCCTCTAGTGATACTTTCTCACTAACAAAATGTGTAACCTCAAGCCAGTTGCTCAGTGTCATTCAAACATCCAATGTCAGGCATTTGCCTGGGGCAGACTATTGAAGGGAAACTGTGGTTTGAAATTGAAGGCAAAGGACCAGAAGCCAGAAGATTAGCTTTCTGTGCCTGACTTTGCTGCTTATGTCACTTACACAACAAGAAACATGGCCTTTCTGCCATGCCTGACTGATAAGACATTTAATTTGCTCTTTTCTGATCTGGAGATGTAGGTCTCTGTTATTCTACCAGTAATTATATCATAATATGCTGGATATCTCTGGAAGGATGGTTTGAAACTAGAAAGACAAATAGCATTTCCTATATTGCAGCTGAGAATTGTAAAATAAAAAACCAAAGTCAACGGCAAGTCTTCTCTGGTGGTCCAGCTGTTAGAGTAAGGAATTGCTAGAATCAGGCTGCTTCAGATACTATTTTTTCCACCAAATAGCTACAAGACAGACCTCACCAGAGTTTTCAGACCTGGTTCCCTTTGTTTAAATGTGATCATCCTGTACTAGTTTGTTTTATGGCTAAAATTGACTGCAGCTTAATCTAGTTGCTGGAACAAAGGACTCTCAACTAGGATTGTATCCTGATTCTTATATTCCATGAATCTCAGCCATTCTTAAGTCAAACCAGTTTTATCTGTGTGGCAGGAACGAGCCACCTATGTTTTCATTTCCAGAGAAAGTTCACTAACAATTCAGTTAATATTCTTTACAAAGTCATAATCATCCAAATCCTACTTAGCGCTTTACAAATATATTTCTGAAGTTTTTATTTTAGCCTTTGTTATAAATATTTCCACTGTGTGGGACAAAGTAAGGTTCTTGCTTCAAAGTAATATTCGATAGACCCATTTTAGGGGAAATATTTCCTTGTTCTATGTTTCAGAAAATACTTGGCATCTGTTATTGAAAGCAATTCATACATTTCAAATCGGTGTTTTGTGAAATGCATTTGCTTTTTTTCCCCACTTTTAAAGATTGATCCAGTTATCGGTACTGTTGGGTTTGGCTCTGGTCTGCATGGCTGGGCATTTACTCTGAAGCAGTTTGCTGAGATGTATGTAACCGAATTTGCTGCCAAAGGTGAAAAAGCACAACTCCCCCCAGTTGAGCATTCAAAGAAAGTGGAAGATACGATGAAAAAACTCTGGGCTGATAAGTAAGTAACACAGTACGCATGGAATGAATGTAGATACATGCTTAGATACCACAGTGACACTCTAAGGATATCAGTGGTGCATACCAGTGCATGTCGAGTTTGTCCTTCTGTAAAACTAAGCTTTCATAGGCAGCTTAGAAAGCTAGTTAGAGACATGAGTTTGTAACTCTTCCAACAAAAATATTTATGTATCTGAGAAAAGCAGTTGCTTGTAATGCAGATATGCTGTATGTGCCTTCTCTGGTGAGTTCTGATAACCTGCTCCATAAGAGCAGAGAGAGAAGATTCACTGTCAGAACTTCAGAACATAAATGCTTTTATTGAACTGCGTCGGTAAAATTAATACACAGCACAAGATTATGGACCAAATCCAGTCTTTTGATACCGATGAGTATTTCTGTGACTTTAATGAACCTTAAATTGTATCTCATAAACGATGGAGCTAATTTCCTATTAGACGTGTACACAACTTGCTGTTAATTGAATGCCTTACATGTGTGGGAAAGCTCGATATATTTGCTTGTTTTCTGATGCCTTATAATAAATTAACCTACCTTGACTCATTTAGCTCATAGGGTACTCCAAGATTTGTCTTGTATGGTATTTAAATGATTTTAGCAAGGCTTCAAAAGGCAGTTATAGATTAACAGGGTGGAGTAAGAGAATTCTTGGCAACAGGTTTGCTTACAGTGCCTGCTTCCCTGTAAAAGCCTAAAAATGCACGTTGAAGTCAGTGTTTTTAAGAGTAGTAAAAAACCTCAAAAACCTAAACAAACAAAAAGCCATCCTCTGCCTCCCCAAACATCTAGTGGTTATTGCTACATTCAAATAAGGATTAGCCTCTCTTCTGCTGTTTTAATCTCTGCTTAAATGTGAAACTTTACAAAGTTCTCTTTTAAAAATAACTAAGCAGAAATTTGCAGGAAAAGTGGATACTCCTCAAGTTCAAAGTGGATGAGTAAAAATAAACATCACCTTTAGATATTTTGATCCAGCAACTGGAAAATTCAGCAAATCAGCCACTAGCCCAGATGGAAAGAAGTTGCCAAGGACATTTTGCCAGCTATTTCTGGATCCTATCTTTAATCCTGATCAAAAATCCTATATTTTGTCTTGATTTGATTGCGAGGGCGTAAGGGGAGACTTTTTTTAGTTTAGCAGGTTAGCTCTTAGGAAAGCCATACCTCTTATAAAGTAGGTCCATACTTTCTGTAGACACTAGAAAAGTTCTGCAGTGTAGGAACAATGTGCAAAAGGTGGGACAGAAGTAGAAGGCAGCAAATCTGAATGGTCTGTTCACTGAAATAACATATTCTGCATATTGTTAGATTAAAACTTTGTGTCTCGTGCGTGTGAACTTCTTCTGATAGGAATTTGGAATTTCCTTTGGAATTAGACACATCTGATATAATTTGTGAATCTTGAGCTGTATGATCCTTGCAAACAGTTTCTCAAACAAAAGCCCAGAACAGAGAAACCAGAGGGGTTCCAGACGTACAACATGTTTAAGATAAATGGTAAGCAAAACCTGTCTCTGTTATATTACTTACTCCGGTCGCTATAAGCTTGTTTCAGATCTTTGATGCCATTATGAATTTTAAGAAGGAAGAGGCAGCCAAACTGATAGAGAAACTTGATATCAAGCTAGACGTTGAAGATCAAGATAAAGAGGGAAAACCCCTTCTTAAGGTAACTTGGCCTTTCTACTTTATTAGAATTGTCAGCGTGGTTGCATCTCTTACCCTTGAGCTGTGTAATGAGAACAGTCTTTTAGGTCTTTCTAAAATCCGCAGAAACTTACCTTAATTGTCTTTTTATAATCTGCACAGTGGTTAATTTGTGCATCAGGAATGTCATGATTTGAAATAAGGTGCTTGGTAATGTATTGCACTGAATTTTCTAGAGAGATAACAGGACTTAAGTGTGTTGCAGCATACAAAAGACATACCTGTTTTGATTTAAGAAAAGGAAGAAAATTTTTATTTCATACATGGAAAAAACCACCAATACTGCCTCCCTCCCTCCCTCTTCTCAAGGTGTAAATGCAATGCTAATACAAAATGTCTATTGCTGCACATGTATGTTGTGGCTCTGTAATCAGAAGCATGGTTTCTGGTTGGCTCTCACAAGTTCCAATATGTTCAAGAACACTGCTGAATTCCGGTCTACCTTCTGAAGAGTAGTGTCTGAAAGCACATGATCACTTTCTATGCAGCACTGAATGTTAAGAGCGGAGACTTTAAGAAACTGTCCAGTTCCTGTGCTAACTCGTGTTCTCCTCAGGTGTGTTAAAACCCACATGAAAAGGGGACCCAGGGGATACATGTGGAAACTTCTTGAAATAATCACTGGAGAAGGGAAATCCAACCACATCAGTGTGGCAAATGGCCAGAGATTTAATAAAACATTTGGTTTTATTTTTATCTTCCATATATGGAAGATACAGCCATAAAATATGACTATTCATGGACCTTTTTCTTTCTACTACTGTGATCTGTTGTCAGCAGAGGAGAAGGGCATTGTGTTTTATTTCAGGAGCTTAATATAATCCAAGAATCCTAACCTTTCTGTTGAAATGTAAGTCGCTAGCCCAAGGTTAACATACAGTTACGTTCAAATCGCTTGTTCCAGATAAGTATTTTACTCCTAGCCTTTAACAAGATTTAAGTAGTCATAGGGAAATTTTAAATGGCTGTCATGACTTTTTACATTGCATCCCTAGGTGTAGCCTTCTACATGCCATCCAAAAGGTTTATTTGGGGGTTGATTATTATGTTTGTTGAAACAAGTTTTAATTACAATGTGAATTTTGGGTCCCTAGGCCGTGATGCGCCGCTGGCTGCTTGCTGGAGATGCCTTGCTTCAGATCATCACTATTCACGTACCTTCCCCTGTAACAACACAAAAATACTGCTGTGAACTTCTTTATGAGGGGCCACCTGATGATGAAGCTGCTATGGGTAAAAAAAAATTTCACAGCTTACCAGGGGCTGTCAAAAATACAGCACCCCTAGTGCACAGATGAGTAAAACTGCCTCAAACGGATTTGGATTAAGTTTCTGTGTTATAATGATAATTACTAATTTGGGACTCTGTTGAGCAGGATATTACAAAAAGTAAGAAAGCAAAGGAAAAGCCTTGGGGTACCACACATAAAACTTGCTTTATGTCCTTATATGCTGGATGCTGATGTGTGTGAAACCACATTGTATTTATTTTAGATTCAGAGAATGTGCAGTTGAGATGAGCAGGAATATGGTATGTACCAGCCTTTGGATATCCTGCAAGAGATGGATGGAGCAGCAAGTTCATTACCCTCATTCTCTCTGCAGCTTTGATTGTGGTCTCCTAGTGAATCCTGTGATTTCTGCTCAGTCACAGTCAGAATCATAACAAGATAATTTACTTTCAAACACTTCTGACGTGTCCCCTGGTAGCTGACATGTTGTTACTGTTCTCTGATTCAGTCTCAACCGTAAAGGTGGAGGACGAAAATCTGGTAAAAAACGGAACCATCTCCCAGTTGTCTGAAGGTGTGGCTGAGATCATGGCTAGATAAAGAGCAAATAGCTGAATCTGAATATGATGCAGGGCTGTTGGTCTGACATTGATAGGAAGGAGTTAAGTTTTGAAGAATTCTTGCACATGGGTCGGGGCAGTCCCAAGCACAAATACAGGCTGGGCAGAGAATGGATTGAGAGCAGCCCTGAGGAGAAAAACTTGGGGGTGTTGGTTGATGAGAAGCTCAACATGACCCAGCAATGTGCACTTGCAGCCCAGAAAGCCAACCATATCCTGGGCTGCATCAAAAGAAACGTGGCCAGCAGGTCGAGGGAGGTGATTCTGCCCCTCTACTCCACTCTGGTGAGACCCCACCTGGAGTACTGCATCCAGCTCTGGGACCCCCAGCATAAGAAGGACACAGACCTGTTGGAGCGGGTCCAGAGGAGGCCACAAAAATGATCATAGGGCTGGAGCACCTCTGCTATGAGGACAGGCTGAGAGAGTTGGGGTTATTCAGCCTGGAGAAGAGAA